TAGGTAAAAAAAATTTAAAATTCTTAGTCAAATTTTTTAAAATGTACAAAGATTATGTTATAAAAATGCAAAGGCAACTTATAGATGGGGAGAAAATATTGTAATGCACACATGTGACAAAGAACTTGGGTTCAGGCATATAAAGAATATTTTGGTGTTATAATAATAAATATTCTTACTTCCAGAACATACCAGAAAGAAGATAGCTCAATTTAAGAATTTCAATACACTTTAGTTAAGAAACTGATTTGAACAGACACTTCACCAAAGTAGATATGAGTAGGAAATAAGTACATAAAAACATGCTGTTATCAGATGCTTAGTCACTAGGAAAATAAAAAACAAAAAGATATCACTACACATCTGGTAGAATAACTTTAAAGTCTGATGCTAACAAGTGTTGAGGATGTGCTGCAATTGGACCTCTCAATTTTGATGGTGAGAAGACAAACTGTTAGGTCGTTGGAAAATTCATAATGTATTTTTCTATGCAAAAATGTATCATGACTTTTACAACGACCCAATATTAATGCCACTTTGGAAAGTTTTGTAGACTCTCATGAAGTTATAGATGTACTTTCCATACAATTTAGCAGTTTCACTCCTAAGTATTTGCTCCAGTGAAATGAAAACAAATGATCACAGAAAAACCTATAGATATATTCTCATAATGGTTCTATTTGTGATTTTCAAAAATTGGAAACAACCCAAATATCCCTCAATTTGAGAATGAATAAAAGAGTTGCAGTATATGCATGCAGTGGAACACATATTCAGCAATACAAAGAAATAAACTGCCGATACTCATAAAAACACAGAAGGATCTAGATATACTATGCTAAGTGGAAGGAGCCAAAATAAAAACGATGTATACTGTATGATTGCATTTATATAGTATTTGGAAAAGTGGAAATATGAGGACAGAAAACAGATCAGTTGTTGCCTAAGGGTGGGAGGAGAGGTTGACTACAAAGGAGCATGGAGGAATTTTGGGAGATGATAGTCTTTATCTTCATTAAGGTGATACTTGTACAACTGTATACACTTGTCAAACCATGCAGAACTGTATATTAGTAAGGGTGAGTTTTGATGTTTGGTATTCATCTAGGTCCTGACCATTATTCCTATCAGAAAACTAGAAACTGGTGGTGTCTTAGAATCTTTACAATACTTGCATTGTAAATGTGTGTAGTGTCAATTCAGCCAGGTGCATTTTATGTTGTCACCTGCCTTTTGATATCAGTAGAGTCCAATGGCCTAAGCTTTCTGTATGGAATAAAATGTAAAAGATAGTTATATAGAATATTTGGATTCTGTCCATACTCAAATATACATATGATGGGTTTCTGAGAGGGAAAACAAAGTTTAGAAGTATTATCGAGAATCTAGAGCAACGAAGTTCACATTCATTGCTGGTGGAGATGCAAAGTCATTCAGCCACTATGGAAAACAGGTTAGCAACTTCTTATGGTAGGACTATGTTTAACTTTATATCACCACGCATTTCTATTCCTGGGTATTTCTGGGGTGGGGGAAAGAATGACACATGTTCAGCCACTGAAAGATTTGTTGGAATGTTTCAGCGGCTGAAAATCCTCCAACAACCCAGTACTTACAATAAAAAGTAATGAATTACTGGACCAGCCGATGGGTGGTGGTTAAAGTGCTGGACTCCAACAGGGCTGACAGTGGTCCAAGTACCAGACCTGGCATCTTGAAAATCATGCCAGGCATGTGCACATGCATGCCCCAAATCCCAAAATGAAGTTAGAGTCCCATATGTAAATATTCATTGGTGTTTTAAAGGGAAAAGATAGATTACCAATTGCAGGGAAAGACTGAATGGAAAAGTAACATTTGTCATGATTAACAGTGAAAAGATTTTATCAGATAGCATTGTGGGAAGATTATTTTGGTCAAAGGCACTTGTTTTTTGTTTAATTTTTTAATATTATTCATACATTAAAATGTATACATCATTTAGATTGTGAAGAGACTTTACCCAGCATGATATCCACCTCAGTCCAGCCCAGTTGAGACTATTATACACATCCTCGTCAACAGATAATAAACCTTATCTGTGTCCCACAAGTGGCTTACATCTCCATTTTCCCCCAAAATTTCCTTTCCTACACTCTTCCCCTCCCACACTCTCTTTCCACTTTGTCTCTAGTGTCCTTTATAGTTTTTAAAGCTTTTATGCTCTCCAGTCTTTCGGTCTCTACCATAGAGTGCAAACGGTCGGCGTATGTTAAGTGGAGACATACAATATCTCTCTTTCATACCCCAACTTGCTTCACTCAGCAACAAATCTTCCATATTCGTCTACTTTCTATCAAATTCCAGGACTTTGTTGTTTTTTTATGGCTAAATAGCATTCCATGGAGTATATGTGCCATAATTTTTCAACCCGTTCATCTGTTTGTGGACATTTGTGTTGGTTCCATGTCTTAGCAATCATGAATAATGCTGCAGTGAAAATACATGTGCAAGCACTTTTCTGACTGAGTACTCTCCTGTCCTTTGGGTAGATACCCAGGAGTGGAATTGCTGGGTCATATGGTAGTTCTATTTGAAGGTCTTTGAAGAATCACCATATCGTTCTTCACAATGGCTGGACCAATTTACATTCCAACCAACAGTATAGGAGTGTCCCCCTTTCACCACCTCCTCTCCAACACTTATGATTATTTGTTTTTGTTTTTTTTTTTTGACCTTTGCCATTCTGACTGGGGTTAGGTGGTATCTCATTGTGGTTTTGATTTGCATCTCCCTTACAATGAGGGATGTTGAGCATTTTTTCGCATGCTGTTTGGCTGTTCATATGTCTTTCTTAGAAAGTTATCTATTCAGCTCATTTTCCCATCTTTTAATTGGATTATTTTTTTTTCCTGGGTAAGCTGCTTGAGTTTCCTGTGTATTCTGGTTCTCTCCCTTATCTGAGGCACAGTTAACAAAAATTCTCTCCCATTCCAAGAGTTGTTGATTCACATTAATTATGGTGTCCTTTGCTGTGCAGAAACTCCTTAATCTGATGTAACCCACCTGTTTATTTTGGGGATTATTGCCTCTGCTTTGAGGGTCTTGCTTAAGAAGTCTTCGTCTACACAATGTCTCCCAGAGTTTCCCCAGTGTTTTCCATCAGTAGTTTTATAGTTTGCAGTCTTAGGTTTAGATCTTTGATTCACTTTGATTTGATTTTTTATTAATGGTGACAGGAGTTCAGATTCATCTTTCTGCAGGTGGATAGATACCCAGTTTTTCCAGCACCATTTGCTAAAAAGATTTCCCTTTACCCACTGGATTGACTGGTACCCTTTGTCAAAAATGAGTCGGCTCTATGTTTTGGGGTTTATTTCTGGAGTCTCTTCTCTGTTCCATTGGTCTTCTTGTCTGTTTTTGTGCTAATACCATGCTGTTTTGATTATCACAACTTTGTAATATATTTTGGGGTCAGGAAGTGAGATGCCACCTACTCCAGTCTTCTTGCGCAGGATGGCTTTAGCAAAACGGAGTCTTTTATGGTTCCAGACAAATTCTATGATTGCCTTTTCTAGATCTGTGAAGAATGTCTCTTGTAATTTCATAGGGATTGCATTAAACATGTAGATTAATTTGGGTAGGTTTGCCATTTTGATGATATTGATTCTGCCAGTCCAAGAACATGGAATGTCCTTCCACTTTTTAGTGTCCTTTTCAATTTCCTTTCTAAGGTTTTCATAGTTTTCCTTGTAGAGGACTTTGACTTCCTTGGTTGGTCAAAGACAATTGTTAAGGAGGAAAATAATTCCCACTAATGGAAAGGCACAGGCCACAGGTATTATATGTAAGAACATAAGAATGAGAAAATAGGAGATAGAGTTGAAAACACTGTAAAGATAGGTTGGAATCAAATTGTCTATTAATAGAGGAAAAAAATATATATGGTAGCCATTAACTGCATATAGCTATTGAGACCTTGAAATGTGTCTAGTCCAAATGAGATGCATTACACACTAGATTTGTAAGACTTAGTACCAAAAAAAGAATGTAAAACATTTCATTAATTATTTTAATTTGATTACATGTTGAAATAATTATATTTTTAAAATATTGAGTTAAGGGACAGCAGTGGCATGGTGATTAAGGGTGCTGGACTTCTACATGGCTGACCACAATTTGAGTACCAGACCCGGCAGCTTGCTTTCTCACTTTCCTTCTCTCTTTCTCTCTCTCCCTCCCTTCTTCCCTTCCTCCCTCCCTCCTTCCCTCTCTGGTCAAATAAATAAATAAAGTTAAATAAAATCATTTCTTTAAAAATATGGGGTTAAATAAAACACATTATTAAAGAGAAACTTTTGTACTATTTAAATGTGACTATTAGGAAGACATATGTATAGATCATATTCATAACTTATAATAGATTACATTTTTAAAAATAATTACTTATTTGATTTTATTCATTATCATTATTATTTTTTAATTTGACCAGAGAAAGAGAGAGGGAAGGTGAAGAAGCAAGCCACTAGGTATGGGGCTTGAACCGTGGTCAGCCATGTGGGAGTTCAGCGCCTCAACTATCCTGCCACCTGCCAACCCCAATATATTACATTTCTCTTGCAAAGTAGTGGGTGCAGAGAGGTTAAGCAACATACATGAAATCACTCTGCTGCTAAGTGAAAAGCCAGCTTAATGCAGACTTAAGCTTCTCTGGCTTTAGAGCCCATGCCTTTTCCCAATGTACTATGACATATTGTCATGGCACTGTTAAAAGTGGTTGGGCTGGGAATAATGTGATTGGTTGGGGCAGCGCTTTAACAGAAATGGAATAAAGATAAATGAGTGGAAGAGACTTTATTTTCAGATTCTAGTTTTTTTGTTTGTTTGTTTTGGTTGAACATTACTTTTTATCAAGGGTGGGAGGAGGTTAGGAAATTTCATTTAAAGTCAACTTTTCAATTGTGTATTTTGGTAGTATACTGTATGTTAACTACTTCTCAAAATATTTATCATTTCTGTAGATTTGATAATGGGCTGCATTAAAAGTAAAGAAAACAAAAGTCCAGCCATTAAATATAGACCTGAAAACCCTCCAGAGCCAACTACGACAAGTGTTAGCCATTATGGATCAGAACACACTGCAGTGGCACAGCCGTCTTCAACAAAGGGAACATCTAATTTTAGCAGTCTTTCCATAACACCATTTGGAGGATCTTCAGGGGTGACACCTTTTGGAGGAGCATCTTCCTCATTCTCCGTAGTGCCAAGCTCATATCCTACTGGTTTAACAGGTAAGATAGAAATGGCCAGTTATGTTGCCTGTTTAAGAATATGACCTTGGGCAATATATACTTAAGGTTTGTCTGCTGTTAAGGAAAATATCTTCTGAAGGACTTTATAAATAATTACATGAAAATTAAAGTTGAACAAAAATTAGCCTTATGTATACATAGATAGGGTTCCAGGAAATGTGATAATCTGATGGTGATTATATACTGGGCAGTATTATCAATTATTTCATTAACTTGTTATTTAAATAATTATTGTGTACTGGCTATGTGGCAAACACTAGAACTATAAAGATTAAAAAAATATTCCTCCCCCCAAGGATCTTGCATCTTGTCTGGAGGGGCTCTCCAGTTTAAAAGTACTGTTGTGGTTACTTTATAAATTTTAAGTAAATGGCAGTGTAGTAATGACAATGTAATGTTCTGTCAAATAGTGACTTAAAAAAGAAAATCCTGATGATCAGTATTTAAGTGATTTTTTTTTTCTAGAATCAGATAGTAAGTAGAAGAACTCAGATTTAATGTCCTATCCAGAATTCTATTTATTACATTATCATATCCTTTCAGAGAACAAGATGTGATAGACAACCTTACATGAAGACAGAAAATTCTTAAAAAGGTAGATTCAGAAACTTTGTAAAGAAAGAAAATGAGCTCTTTTTTTAAAGGGTCCCCTATCCAGCAAGCTTTAAAGGTAGTGTGAGCTCCAGGTCCTGTGTATAGCAGTTCTGTAAAATCATTAGGGTCTTGGTTTCTTTCATCTTTCTCCTGCAGCTCTTGGAGTGTCCACTTTATCCTTAAGTGTGGCAAAACAGAAGCCATCCCCAGTGAACAATATATCATTATCAACCTCCAGTGGGAGCAGAGAGAGATCTCTTCTATAAACATGAATTACAAATTTGTTTCCTCAGTCTGCCCGCCTCTGGACCAATAACTATAGCCAGAGGACTACCATACACTGATTTATTAGACTTCATTTGGAGAGTTAAGGACATCAAAGAGTCAATTGCAATCTTAATTTCAGCTCCCTAATTCTAAATACTTAAATAATAGTCATGATGGCATTTCTCAGTCATTAGCAAAAGTTTAAATTATTTTCAGGATTATGTTTGGGAAAGATAATTCAAAATGGGTAAAGTCAACATTCGTACTTAGAGGCATACTTTAGTTACCTAAAGCAACTTACATATAGGAAATACACCATTCACAGGTATTCATTTATTAACTCCACAAATATAGGGGTGTGTGTGTGTGTGTGTGTGTGTGTGTGTGTATGTACCAGGTATAGAGAGGTGAGCAAGACAGACAAGGTCTCTACCCTGATGGAGTTTACAGAATAACGAAGGTTGAATAATAATGAATAAGCAAAAACAGAATGATCTTTTTTGGGATCTTGGGCATGCATGCACGCACACTTGCCTGGCATATTTTTTAGGCCACCAAGTCTGAGACTTGAACCATGTAGTTAGCCATGTGGGATCCATCCACCTTAACCACCATACCACTGGCTGGCCCAGGCCTAAGTTATGAACATAAATTTGGGATCTAGCTCTATAGCAGAGCAGTTGAGTGCTGGGTGGAGGAAAGCATCCCACGTAGCTGTTTGCTATTTGAGTCCCAGCCCCCACAGCTTGAGACAGTTGCTGAGCAAGTGCACATGTGTGCTCAGGATCCTGATGGGCTAGAGAGAGGGAGGAACGGGGATTGTGGTTTGGCCATGCCACACTGGGAGATGCTTTCTCTTTCTCTCTCTCTCTCTCTCTCTCTCTCAGTCTCTCTGGTGAATGCATTTCCCCTTTGGCAATAAAAACAAAATAAATTCTAAAGACTGTACTTTTTTTTACTGTTAATAGTTCTTTATTTCTCTTTCGTTGCTCTATCTGTGTTATTTACCTTAGTCTTTTTTTCCCTCTCATAGGTGGTGTTACTATATTTGTGGCCTTATATGATTATGAAGCTAGAACTACAGAAGACCTTTCATTTAAAAAGGGTGAAAGATTTCAAATAATTAACAATACGTAAGTGTTGTGAATATTTGATAAAAGAAAAATATTATTACTTCTAAAATTGTACTCCTGTGGTTCTACCATAAACAGTAGAGATTTAAAAATGAAGAATTATTGAGGTGATATATGCAAGTATATTTTTAAAAATTGTAAAGAGAATTTTAGAATCCTATTAATGTAAGTAGCAGATGACTTAAAGATCTTCTTTTTCCTAAAAGAAAGAAAAAAAAAGGAAAAACATTGAGTAAGGAATCCCTCTACATCTAAACTGATCAAATTAAGTTCCTTTTTCTTTATGTGACTTAGCTGTCTTTTCATTTAGTTGGCCACCATAGAAAATTTGATACTTGTTCTAGAAAATAGAGCCCATTATTTCATACTAGCATCATGACCACTTTGTAACTTGTTAAAACATATACTTGTGGGTTCATTGCTTTCAGTTGTTTCTTCCATCCTTTTCCCCATCTGTTATCAGTTATTGTTCCAGAACATAAAGTATGATCATGTCTCTCTGCTTTAAAATTCTTCAGTAGCTATCAGTGCCATCAAGATAAAAAGGAAACCAATAATAATGGCCATCATTCATTGAGAATTTACCGTATGCTTTCCACCTTTCTCACTTCACTTCTCATCCGTAGTGAATTACTGATAATTTTCTGAGAATGCTGTAGCTTCTCTTCCTTTCCACACCGTCACACATACTATTTCTTTTTTCTGGAATGTGACTTCTCATCTCTCCATTCCCTTTCTATGTCTGGTTAACCCTACCCTTCCTTCAAAATGTATTAGATCGTCTAGAAAGTTATGCTGTGTTTTTCTATGCAAAAATGCATCATGACTTTCCCGACTACCCAGTAGTCATATGTCATTTCTCAAGGATGCATTTCCTTATATTCCTTCTCTCCTTCCTGGACAGTCTCTACCCCATGCTAGATTAAGTGTTCACATAGCATTCTGTATAAACTTTAGTCATAGTTCTCATCACATTTTGAATTATAATTTGCTTCTTGCCTGTCATTCCGTTAGACCAGTGTTTCTAAACCTGAGGCAGAATTGCCCAGGGGACATTTGGCAATGTATTGAGACACTGGTCGTCACAATCAGAGTGCTGCTACTGTCATCTAGTGGGTAGCGGCCAGAGATATTAGTAAACATCCTAAAATGCCTCCCACCACAAATATCCAGCCCAAAGTGTCAATAATGCAAAAGTACAAAACCCTACTCAATACTGTGAGTTCCATGAAGTTAAGAACTGTCTCATTACCTGTTTCCATTACACTCTGTTGTAAGGTCTGTCTCTTTATAGGATACTCAGTAAATGTTTGAGGGGACCAGTGAATATTTAGCAGGTTCATATACAAGAGTTTTCAGTTTGTCTGTCTGAAAGTACTGAATATACTCTAGGACACCACAAACCCAGTGTATGGATATGTACTCCCCCACCCCCGTTTTTGCTATAGGGCACATGGACTTTCCTGAGAGAAGTGAAAAAATCACATCCTTAAGGGAGGTGGCCCCACCACAGTCCCTTCTCCTCTATTCTCCTCTCAAGATTTTAGGCACACATGCCTATGCTCCCAGCATCATTTTAAAGTCGCCGAGTCCAGGACCCAAAACAAGCAGTCAGCCTTGTGGGATCCAGCACCTTAACTTCCATGCTACCTGCTGGAGCTGAGTGTGTAAATATTTTCAAATTACCTAAGGATTTTCCATTTCACTTTCTAGAGAGCAAATTCATCTCAAACATTAATAAAATTTTACATTAGTACATTTCAGTGCTTATCTCTGGTAAAGCAAAAAGTACATTTAATCTTTAGTTACAGACCTCATATATAGCTTCCTTAATAATAACCAATAATATTTGCTCTTTTCACATTAATCTTGTAAAAGTCAAGTTTTCTGTATTACAAATCACATACAGTTTTCATATGTTCTAAATTATAATTTCTCCTTAGTCTTATTGAGGTATTTATGGATGACATTTTTATGAAAATATGTTCTAGAAATTTCAGTTTTCATCATCCATTGTTGTCTGGCTACATGAATGCTAGAATGATGTGATTTTTTTCCCCTAAAATGACTAAAAGAGAACATTACAATTTTAATGTATTTAAGAAAGAAAAGCATTGGGCCAGCCAGATGGCATGGTGGTTAAGGCACCTGGGTCCCACATGGCCAACTGTATGGTGGCTTAAAGAATCTTTGTGTTCACGCGTACCCAAAATCCTCAGAGGACAGTGGAGGAGAAAGGATTACAGCATGGCCATCCCATCAGGGGATGTTTTCTCACCTCTCTTCTTGTGTCTCCAGTGAGTGCACGTACCCTATAGCAATTTTTTAAAAAAGAAAGAAAAAGCATTTGGGAACAAAAATAAAGAACGGACTACGGATACATGTTACAACATAAATGAACTTTGAAAAAATTTAAGCAAAACGAAAGAACCTAGTCACAAAAGACCACATATATTGTGATTCCATTTATATTAAATGCCCATAATAGGCATATCCATAGAAAGAGAAGCAGATTAATGGTTGCCTGTGTTGAATAGGGTAAATTGGGGAGGGAAGACTACCAATTGGCACATTGTTTCTTTTGAGTAATGAAAATGTTCTAAAATTGATTGTGGTAATGGTTGCATAACTTTGTATTAAAAGCTACTAAATTGTACATCTCAAATGGGAGAAATTTATGGTATGTAAATTATATCTTAATAAAGCTGTTAAAAAATTCAGTTGAAACTGAGTAATTTAAAATACTTAATTACTTAATTCAATATAGCTTAATGTCTTAGGTTGAAAGAACTGTGTAAAAAAGAGGTCTTGTAACTAAAATGAAACTGCAGTGTTTTCAGTTTCTGTTTATTTTTGTTGGAGAAGTATATTATTGTGTTTTTGCATAGTCTTATTCCCTTATTTCAGGTCACCTACTTTTTAATATTATTTTTTAAGTTTAATTCTTGATCAGATGAATGCATAAATAAAAGGAAGTAATACCCCTTGTCTACTTTAGATACCAGATGCAGCACTGTATGGTATCTTGATCAATAGTCTACATTGTGGTGATTATTGTTTTATGTGTTACAGGGAAGGAGACTGGTGGGAAGCAAGATCAATCGCTACAGGAAAGAATGGTTACATCCCTAGCAATTATGTAGCGCCTGCAGATTCCATTCAGGCAGAAGAGTATGGCACTACTTCATATTTTATTAATTATTTTGATTTTAAAAATGTTTTAATGCACATCCTACTTAGCCACAACTTTACACACTCACAATTCCGTACCAGTCTTAATACAGCTAATGTATTATATTAATAGATGCTACTTGAAAATTAATAATTAATGTCATAGTATCCATTTCTAGTAGGACCTCATAGAAGACTCTGTGTCAGTCAGACTACGCTATGCCTGGTCTTCATTACTTTTCTACTCTTAAAAAAAATACATGAACTTATATGCACACACACACACACATATGTATACACACACAAATACACACACACCCTTTAAATATTCTGCAGACTCTGTCACTTCAACAGTTTACTCGCATGGCCCAGCTGCAGTGGCTCAGGCAATAGAGCATCACCGCATGATGTTGGGACCATATAGAAGGCCTGGCCTGGGTTTAGATCCCGGACCCATTTGGACAGGCCAAGTGCACTGATGCAGTCTTATGCTCCTCGCTAACTGGGAGGCTGTGGTAGAAGATTGCAGCAACAAGATCCTGTCAAAAAAACTAAAAATCTTCCTTTCTCTCTGGTTCTCTCTCCCTTCCCCCATCTCCTTCCATACTTGCTTTTTCTCTCTCATAAAAAAATGACCTTCAGTTAGTCTTTTATCAATGTAACTTCTTAGTTTAGGTACTTGCATTATAATTATAAAGGAGAGTATCATGTTTACAACTTCATCAATTCGGGAAACACACACACGTACACACGCACACATACATATAGAGAAAGTATGATGAAGCAAAATCTTAACAGTTGGGAAACCTGATTGTATGCTATGTGGAAGTTCTATGCATTATTCTTGAAACTTTTTAAAAGTTGAAGTTCACTTTCACTGGCAGCCTGCTTTTAGGCCAAACTGGTTTACCTGGGATTCCTAAATGCTACTTCATTTTCATTTTATAATACTTAACATAGTGCCTTGCAGATAGTAGATGCTCTATCAATATTTGTTTGCTTTTTATTAATGATACATAATTTGTTCCAATAACAATCTGTTCTACCATAGTGCTTGTTACTTTCTGTTTTATTCTTTTGATCCAGTATTCTGTGAGTTCTTCCACAATAGAGACTGTCATTTTTATTCACAAACTTTGTTAAATTAAACCCACCCATATTTAGAGTTACTGATAATATGGGTCTTACTATATCCGTATTATATACTTGTATCATACTACATTAAGATTATCACAGTTACTAGAAAACCACTTTATTTTTCTTACTGTAGCCTTTTTCCTTTAAATTTTATTTTCTTCCAAGAGTGAGACAGACAGAGCAAGAGAACAAGCATCCCCAGCAGGGTCTTAATGCTGTGATCCACCCCCAGCCTCAGCCAGCTCCACCTCACATGTCTGCTTGGAGTACTCAGGGAGGTCTTTGGACACAAACCTGAAATCTTCTCGTGTTGGTCAGCCTCCCAGAGTGTCACCATCCAGCCCCTTCCTCTAGTCTCAATATTTCCACCATCACTGACAAAAAGGATCTGTTATTTCCTGCCTTGCCTTCTCCGTTTACTCTTCCTTTGACAGCCAGATAGTTTTAAGAGGCATAGCAGTCAATGTATGAAAATACTATGACAGAGTATATTCTAACCATAATATTTATAATATAGCCCTACTTAATAAGTACAAATCTTTCATTTTACTGTATTTTAAGCTATGTTGTACAGCTGCTCTTTGTTATCCTCCCTATCTCACTCCATTCTTTATTGATACTATTGGGTGGTTGGAAAAGTCATGACTCATTTAACGTAGAAAAACAGAACAATACATCATGACTTTTCTGACCCAAAAGTATGTAATTTTTCTGACATTCAAACCTTCCAACTCAAAACACTTAATTTTTTTCCAGATGGTATTTTGGAAAAATGGGAAGAAAAGATGCTGAACGATTACTTCTTAATCCTGGGAATCAACGAGGTATTTTCTTAGTAAGAGAGAGTGAAACTACTAAAGGTGTGTCTCTTGTTATATTAATATAAGAATTTCCTTGAGCAATATTTTGAGAAAAATATAGTAAAAGTATTTATATCCCCCCCCCCAAAGGTGCTTACTCCCTCTCTATTCGTGATTGGGATGAGGTAAGGGGTGACAATGTGAAACACTACAAAATAAGGAAACTTGACAATGGCGGCTACTATATCACAACCAGAGCGCAATTTGAAACTCTGCAGAAATTGGTGAAACATTACACAGGTAACTGAATGTTTTAAGAGTAAAACTTATTTTCTCATGTTCTATATTATCAAAACAAAAGTTTTATATTCCTATCTCTTAAGATTTAACAGACTTCCTTGTACACAATTATCTGCCCAATAAATATCTGTTGTTATTAGTTTTAAAATGAGGAACAGGTAATAATACTTAGTATATGAATTGGGTTCATAGATAATATGCTGAAATCAGACTATCATCATGTGAGTCCTTAGATCTTACGGTCATAGTGTTTGCATTGGAGTTCTAGTTCATAGCATATAAATACTAAGATTGTGAAAATAAATGAAAAAACTCATAAAAGCAAATATTTTATTTATGGGCACTTACTAAGTAGGTAAAACTAATAATGCCTAATTCAAAAAGCCATGTCACATGGCCTGTTGGATTACCCTCTCCTACACGGGCTAGATTGTGTAAGATTCTTTAAAGAATAAATCCAATGAAATATGGTCTGCTGATGAATTTTTCTTATCCTATAAAATTAACTATAGCAGCTGTAGACTTGTCTTTCAAGGATCTCTGAAAGATACTCAGTGTTAGAGTCTTCTGTCTCAAAATTTTCATTACTGATTTGATGTATTAATGCACCTGAAAATCTTTAAATGATTAATACTAGGGGAGAGGATGTTTCCATGGTAATTTCTTCTTCAATGACAACTAGCTACAAACTCGAGTCTATTAAGTCAACCAGCAATCTTGACATTGATCAAACATGTTATCAAGCAGTGGCATCACTTGTAATTTCTCTTGTCTGACTGAATTTATGTGGTTACTTGATGAGAACAAGAGGCAATGCGTCTCATCAATACTAACAAAGATTTTATAAGCAGGATTCGTAAGGCAAGCCATTATGAATCGAATTCCTTGCTTCTCTGGCTTCCTTATTTAAAAGTCAATACCTTAAATTAATATTGTCCTTGATTTTTTGGTATGCCTCAAATTCTCTTTTGATCATTGGGCTTTAAAGCTGAACTTTCGAGGCAGACCAACTTGATTTTGACTCCCATCTTCATCACTTACTCACTGTGGGACCTTCAGAATATTGCATAAATCTTCTAAGCCTCATTTATATGAGTTATTTATAAAGTGCTGAATTAGCACAATCATGGAACATCAATATTCAATAAATAATAACTTTAAAGTATATTTAACAAAATATTTTACTTCTTAACTATTCTTTTGCTTCTTGTAGACACCTCCCTTTTTTGTGTTTGTGTTTTTAGAGTAAAACTGATAGGTCATTATGTTTTTATTTTTATAGTTTAAACTTCTTAAAATATTAACATCATATTATATACCCTACTTTTTATAAATAATTCATTTTATTGTGCCATTTATTAATTTATCTAGAACATGCTGATGGTTTATGCCACAAGTTAACAACTGTATGTCCAACTGTGAAACCCCAGACTCAAGGTCTAGCAAAAGATGCTTGGGAAATCCCTCGAGAATCTTTGCGACTGGAAGTTAAATTAGGACAAGGATGTTTTGGTGAAGTGTGGATGGGTAAGTAGCCTGAACCACGTTTTTATTGCAGTTGTTTACACATATATTAAATTGCTACAATGATAAAATATGTTTAGACATTTAAAGAAACTGTTGTTTAAGTTTGATCTAAAGTCCCTTAAATATAGATGAAAATAGTAAAGTGTATTGTTTCTCTAGGAACGTGGAATGGAACCACAAAAGTAGCGATCAAAACACTAAAACCAGGTACAATGATGCCAGAAGCTTTTCTTCAAGAAGCTCAGATAATGAAAAAATTAAGACACGATAAGCTTGTTCCACTATATGCTGTTGTTTCTGAAGAGCCAATTTACATTGTCACTGAATTTATGTCAAAAGGTTTGTATATATATATTTGTGTCTCTTAGCGTATTCATGTTGCTAAATTTTTTGTAAAAACAAGTCTTTGGGGACCAGCATATGGCATAATCATTGTCACAGGACTCTATAAGTCAACTGTAGATTGAGTCCTGGACCTGGCTATTTAAAACTCATATTGGACGTGTGCACATGCATGCATGCCCAAAATCCTGAGAGGAGAATGGAGGAAAAGGGATTGAGGCATGACCATCTGCCCCAGGGAGTGATCTCTTACTTTCTGTCTCTGTCTCTCTGTCTCTGTGTCTCTCCAGCAAGTGTATATGCCCTATGCCAAAAAAAATTCTCAAGAAACAAAATCTTTCTATTTTCATGCTTATTGACTTTTATTATAGACGTGTTTTCTAATTTCAGAATTTTGTGTAGACATTTGAAAAGAAGAAATTAATTCTTGTTTTTAATAGGATAGGGATTTGTCCCAGTTACTCCAGAGGATAGTATAAAGTTTAAAAGGAAAATTAGATAGGTTGAATTTATTTTAAAAAGTAAGCTTGACTAAAGGAAATGGAATAGCTGGGAAAGTGGAAAATAAAAAAGAAAGTATGCAAATCAAATTAAAACAATAAAATCAGAAAGATACATCTTTAGTACTTAAGCAAATAAACAAGATAAAGGAAATTCGCTCTACTTCATTTTAATATAAACATTATTCCCATATTCAGGACTCCTAGAAAATGTTTTTTTCCTGCTACTGTCAGTTGAAATTCTCAATTGTCCCAATCCAGATTGCAGGATGGGAGAGGGCTATTTAGGACCAGGACAGAGAAAAGGGAAGGTTGATGCTCTCCTGTCATCTTTCCTATGCTGGTGATGTTTTTAAAGGAACCAGTAAGTCGCAAATATCCCAACGGGCCCATTCTTACCCACTTTGAATTTGATCTACTTTTTCATTTTACTTTTTGAATTGATAGTCTGTATTAGTCACTGTTTGTGTCATCCACATCAGTGTCTGTCCTCATCGATGATGTAGTTCCATCTAGTGGTGACAGGAACAACTACAAGCTACTCATTTGCTGTAGGAAAATGAGTTGTAGGGATTGAAACCAAAAGTTAAGAACTAACAGCTTATTCATTGATAGCCAAACTTTACTTGAAGATGCACAGCACATGGGCACTCTTTGAAAGGACTTTCTACTGCAGATAACTGTCAAATATGCCATTTCAAAAAGTGCTTTGGATGAACTAGAAGAGGAATGAAGAGGCAAGGAGGAAGTTCGAATCTAGCTATTAGTAGCATAAGAAATATAATGGAAACACAGCCAAGATAGCTGAGGCACTAGGTGACACAGTGGCTCCTTGTCAAAAAAGGGAAGGAGATGGCAGGAAGACAGGCAGTGGGGCAAGGGCATCAAAAAGTCCATGGAAAAATACATATTAAGAAAAATTACACATAGATTTCAATTTTTTTGCAATAAAATAAACTTGCACTTAAACCACATTTTTTCCATGAACTTTTTTTTTTTTTGGTGGGGGGGAGATTTTTGCTATAGGGTACGTGTGCTCCCGAGAGAGACAGAGAGATAGCAAGAACCCCCCCCCCCCATGGGGGGGGGCCACGCCGCAATCCCTTCTCCGTTCTTCTCTCCGACTCTTGGGCACTCACGCACATGCGCCTGGTGTGAGTTTAAGCCACCAGGTCTGGGACTCAAACCACAGTCAGCTACGTGGGAGTTCAGCGACATAGCCATTACGCTAACTGCTGGTCCTAACTTTTTGAAATCTTGTAGAGACAAGGCTAATGGTTCATTTACTCTGCACATTGACTTTAAGAACTATTTAATTGGGGACCAGTTGATGGCAGGTATAGTGGTTACATCACTGGCCTCCCACATGGCTGATCATGTTCTGTCTGCTGTTCTGGACAGATGGGCCTTCTTGTTGCCCCTTGGTTCTATGATTTTACGTTACTTCCTTTACCTTGAATTCAGTCTATCTCTTGACCAGCCCACTAGCTATATACTTCCCTGATGCAGTATCTAGTTCATAGTCATGCACTGCATGTAGTTGTCATTTCTCTTTAGTCTCCTTTAATCTGAAGCCATTCCTCTTCCTTTGTCTTTCATAGCATTGTTACTTTTGGAGAAAATAGTCTAGTTTTATGTTTTACAAAACGTGCATTAATTTAGGTTTATCTGATGTTGTCTCTTGATTAATTCAAATACATAGTATTCTTTTACCTAGTAACAGAGAAGTAACAACTAAATTTTTCCTTCCTACCCTCTCTCTTTGCTATTATTCATAGTCCTTTATTGTTCAGTATCTTTTGCTAAAATCAAGAGAAGTTGGTCAGGCCAACACTTCTACAGCAGCTCATTTAGCTACCTATATTTAGCTTTAATTACACCAAGATATTCCCAGTTGTCTGAATTCTTGATTCAAATTGACTTTTAAAAAATTAGTTATCTGGGGACCAGCAGTTAGCATAATGGCTATGTCGCTGGACTCTCATGTAGTTGACTGTGGTTTGAGTCCTGGACCTGGCGACCTAAACGCACGCCGGGCGCATGTGCGTGCATGCCCAAGATCCCGAAAGGAGAATGGAGGAGAAGGGATTGTGGCGTAGCCATTCCCCCCGGAGATGATTTCTCACTTTCTGTCTCTCTCTGTCTTTCTGGCAAGTGCA